AGTTTTTAGGCAACCTTTTTCCTTTGATAATTGTAAACTTATTTACATATCAGTTTTTTATATATATATATATATATTTTATTGATTTTTTACAGAGAGGAAAGGAGAGAGCTAGAGAGTCAGAAATATCGATGAGAGAGAAACACCGACCAGCTGCCTCCTGCACATCTCCTACTGGGGATGTGCCCACAACCTAGGTACATGCCCCTTGACCGGAATCGAACCCAGGACCTTTCAGTCCGCAGGCCGACGCTCTATTCACTGAACCAAACCGGTTTCGGCCATATCAGTTTTTTTAATTTGACTTTTCTTAACTTCAAGTTTCCCAGCTGTATAATAACAAATAGTTGTGATGATAAAATGAAATAATGGTATAAAGCCATTTTTAAGACTTTATTAATAGAGTAAATTAGTTTTGTTTTTATTATTGTCCTTTTTATTGAAATGGATTTTTCAAACATTCTGTAAGAACCCTTATTATGTTACATTATCAAATTAGCAATTTTTAAAATGCCTATGTCCCCTGAAATCTTCAAGAGTAGCTGTCTATATTTTTGGTTCCCCAAAGCCTGGCACAGTTCCTGGCCCATATCAGTGCTCAATAATTGTTGGAATTAATGTTTACTACTAATATCTGTAAATATTTTTAGAAGTGGCCTACTGTTATTCTTTTATCAAGTTAATATTTTTAAATATTTGATAATATAGGTTTAAAATTGCTATATCTCCCTGATAGATTGACCCTTTTATCATTATAGAAAGGCTCTATCTCTAGTAACATTTTTTGCTTTAAAGCCTACTTTGTCTAATATTAGCATAGCCATTTCACTCTCTCATGGTTACTCTTTGCATTGTATATATTTTTTAATCTATTACATAACTAAGTCCCTCAACCATAACTGTGGAGCTATTCACCCTTATGGTATGCCTTTCTCCAGAGCAGAACCCCAGCATCACTACATTGGAGCTGATAATGGCAGCCTCTGGTCTTCTCTTCTTGTCACTCCTGATGGGAAACCTCTACCATATGAGAGATTGTGAGGGGTGGTTGAGGTACCAGTATTTGAAGCCTGCCACACCTGAGATAGAGTTTCCACCCTATAAATGGAGGCTGGCTGTGTTCTGGGACTGCCCCCTGAGTTGGAGGGGAACTGCCCCCTTCTGGGCTCTAATCAATCTCTCAAGGAAGATTTCAGATGAGTGACAAGACAGCAGTGTTGAAGCAAAGTATACAAATTTATTAAGAATACATTAGGCTTAAAGCATAAGTGTGCAACTCAGCTATTCTGAGTCCCAATCTGGTGGGGTTTCAAGTGTTTTATATCTCTTTCCCCTATAGGTTTTAAAGCTTCCATGTGGATATTTTGGGTAGCAGACTAGGTACCGCAGTCTTATCCTACATTGTTGTGGCTTACCTCAGAATGTTTGTACATACATCTAGTCATCTTGTTTGGCAAGTCCTAAGGCAGCTGACTTCTTTGTTTAGTGCAGTGGTTGGCAAACTCATTAGTCAACAGAGCCAAATATCACAGTACAACGATTGAAATTACTTTTGAGAACCAAATTTTTAAACTTAAACTATATAGGTAGGTACATTGTTATTAACTTAATTAGGGGTACTCCTATGCTGGCCTTTGCTAAAAACGTCCTCAATCTGATTGAGGTACATTCGCTGAGGTCAACCCCTTCCAACTCTCCCATCCTCAACTCATTCATGAATTGTGCACACCTCCCCTGCGCTGCTTATCCCGCGGTCCGCCTGCACCGTGTCTTCTGACGCCCAACTGACCGACACCCCCCACTTCTTCTAACACAACTTCTTCAAAATAGACTCGCCCATGCAGAAAACCGACTTCTGCGCATGGGCCATGAAGTTCAATCGCACTGTACATGCACGCCCACATGTGGTATTTTGTGGAAGAGCCACACTCAAGGGGCCAAAGAGCTGCATGTGACTCATGAGCCACGGTTTGCTGACCACTGGTTTAGTGGATGAGATAAAACTCCCCTTTTGTCCCTTGTATCCCCTTTCCTGCCCTAACATCCCCCAAGTAATACCATCTAAATGCTTTGGGGGTTTTGTTGTTTGTCCCCCAGACTTTATCTGTCTTTGGGTTGAGCTGGCACAAATGGCATTCATTGGGCCTTGGCTCTCTGTTTTCCCAGGCCTAGGTGATTTAAGCTATGTATTCTCTGGTTAGGGAGGAAAGGTATAAACCATTTGCTCTCAAGTGTCCTTGGTTGGGGAAGATACGGTCTTGTGTTTCACAAGCTGGCTGCAAGCTACCCAACCTGCTTGGCCTTGCTTAATTTTCCTGTTTCAGTTTCCCCATTCCACTTGCCCAGAAATTTCCCTAGCTTCTTACTATCCTGCCACAGATGGAGTAAGGGCAATCTGGTCCTCTTGGAATTGCCTGCCTAGAATAGAGCTGGGGCTAGTGGGGAGGGAGGGATAACAAATGCTGGCAGCCTGCCCCTCCTGGGATGAAATTGTAGCTCCAGACTGGGAGCTGGGGAGAAAGGGAGCTCCCATCTCCTTGGCCATACCTGCCCAGATTAGAGAACACCAGGTAGAATTTTATAACATGAGAATGGTGACAGAACAAGTAGTGACTGAAACACCAGCCTCCCCTGCTTTTCCAAGATTTAGTAGATTTTCTTGAATGTATGCTTCTCCATTTGTTTTATACCCAGAGAACAATTTCCAGAGACTTTAAATAAATTTTTTATAATTTTCATCAGTTAAATTGTTGCATAGGGTCCACTTATCTCCTTACTTGCCATCCCCTTTATTATATTTTTCTGTTACTGAAATTTCTAACACTGGAAACTTTCGAGACAAAAGCATTATAGACTCAGAAACATCCCCTTTGAAGATTTCAAAATTCTTGTTTGTAAGGCAGAAGTTGAAAAGAAAGAAGAGGCCTAAGGGTGCTGATGCCTTCAGGCAGGTACCAAAAGAGAAGTGAAGTCTCTAAGAATAACAATAAGAGTTCCAGATTGTGCTGATAATGTTCTCAGGACAGTGATGATTGCAAGTTGACCAGGGGGTAGGGCTGCTCTCAGATCTGTTTCTGAGGTGGACCTTCAAGTTCACTGGGTAGTAAATAGCAGCCAAAAACAGTTTGCTTTTTTTTTTTCTTTTATGGAACCCAAGTTAAAATAAAACCCAAGACCACTCAGTACTATGATATAACCAATAGACCTTGGTGCTTATCCTCTGCCTAGTCTCTGGGGAAAGGATAAGTTTTTAGAGGGAGGAGGAGGGAAAAATGGAGGAGAACAAGAAAGAAGGGTGCTGGGTTGGTAGGCAAAGCTGTCTCTGGAAGCAAGGAGTGGGAGAGTTCCTGTTTCTATAGCATTTATCTGACATTTAGTGTCCCCTTAAACTGGGAGGGGACTAATGCCATGGGGGTGGGGACTGCTAGACAGGTAGCACCAATGGATAGGCATCAATTATCTGGTCAGCCAGCTGCTAAGTTTCAGTGATGTTATTAATTTTAGAATAAAGCAGTACTTCCATTGACACTTTTTGCCCTACATAGATTATGACTGGATTTAGGTATAGAATTGGCTTTCTAGGGCTTAAACAACAGAAGTATATTCTCTCACAGTCTGGAAGCTGGAAGTCCAAGATCAAGGTGTTGGCAGGTTTAGTTTCTCCTGAGACCTCTCTCCTTGCTTGCAGATGGTCACTTCCTTACTATGTCTTCCAATAGCCTTTCCTCTGTGTGTAAGTAACCTGATGTCTCATACTCTCCCTTTAAGGACACTAGTCATAGTGGATTAGGCTTGTACCCTTATGGCCTCAATGAACTAATTACCTCTTTAAAGACCTCAAAATAGCCCTAACAGGTTTGGCTCAGTGGATAGAGCGTCGTGGGCCTGCGGACTGAAGGGTCCCAGGTTTGATTCCAGTCAAGGGCATGTACCTTGGTTGTTGACACACCCCCAGTGGGAGGTGTGCAGGAGGCAGCTGATTGATGTTTCTCTATTCCTCTCCCTTCCACTCTGTAAAAAGTCAATAAAATATATATTTTTTTTAAAAATAAAGACCTCAAAATAGAGTCACATGGAGGGTTAGGATTTTCAGATATGAATCTGGAGACAATTCTTTTCACAACAGGTATTATGTATACAAATGTCAGGAAAAGTTTGAATAACTTTAGAATGACCAAAAAAGAGAGGAAAGAAATTGGGGTTCTGCCTAGCTCAACCTTTGGTTGTCTTTGACTAGCCTACTTAGAATTGCGAGGTGTAATGAAAAAGTTCCCTCTCGAAAGTTATGCAAATGATTCCTTTTTGTACAAAAGCAGGTAGCTTTTGTCCAAAAGAGAATATAAATATCTGTAAGTTAAATTCTCCTTTAACTAACTGTAACATCTACTGGTCACCTCACAAATTAATGAGTTAAAATATTTGACACACTCATTTTATAATTGTATGAAAATCATGATTTTACCTTTTAACAAATATGATCCTTTAACACTAATATTGAGGGTTATTTAGACAATATTATTACTGCTGTCCCAATTTTTCTGTCCTTCAGTGTTTTTTTCCTGCCTTTTCTAACTTTTCTTTTCTCTTCACTGAACTTAAACTCCAGAGTTAGAAATGGAAATTAGCAGGTACACCGAACATTGATGATGGACAAGGAAACAACGGAGGCCACTATCAGAATTCTGTCATATTTCAATAAGGAGTCATGTTACTGAAGCTTTTCATGCCATAGACCAATGATACACACCCACGCCCTACTCCAGTGATGGCGAACCTATGACACGCGTGTCAGAGGTGACACGAGAACTCATTTTTTTGGTTGATTTTTCTTTGTTAAATGGCATTTAAATATATAAAATAAATATCAAAAATATAAATCTTTGTTTTACTATGATTGCAAATATTAAAAAATTTCTATATGTGACACGGCACCAGAGTGAAGTTAGGGTTTTTCAAATTTCTGGCACGCCGAGCTCAAAAGGTTCACCATCACTGCCCTACTCTATCAGAAAAAAAGGTACATATATATTTAAATTTATTTTGTAGAATTTAAAATCTTTGTTCTAGATATTTCAAAGTTTCTATTTAAATATTAAAATTAAAAATTTATATAGTTAGCCCTGGCTAGCGTTGCTCAGTGGTTAGAGTGTCAGCCCGCGCACCGAAGAGTTGTGGGCTCAATTCCCAGTCAAGGGCAAGTACCTGGCTTGCAGGTTCGATCCCCTGTCTCAGTCGGGGTGCATGTGGGAGGCAACCAATTAATGTGTCTCTCACATCAATGTTTCTCTCTCCCTTACCCGCTCCCTTCCACTCTATAAAAAAAAAAAAATCAATGGAAAAAATATCCTTGGGTGAGGATTAACACAAAAACACCCCCCCCCAAAACAAAATTTAAATAGATAAGATAGTTTAATTAACTGGAAAAAGTTTTAAAAAATATTTAATTTGCAGTTATTATAAATTTCTCAACCAGTCTTAAATAATGGCATAGGTTGTTTTTTTTCTTTTTAAATCTTAAAAATGTCTATGCCTTGTCTTGAAACACTTTTTTTCTTGATTTCCTTAGCCAACAATTCAGTGATCATAAGCATTCAAGCAACATGAAGTATTTAATCAACACTTGCATAAATGCATCAAAAAGCACTGCGTAAGCAGAGATAACTTTAAGCAAATATGTACTATTCTTATAAGCCATTTGTTTGAAAGTGGGTTAGTTCCAGGATATAGTGTAAAATAGTTTTAACCTTATGTGACAGCAACTTACCTCCATCTCTTACCAAGGTGAACCTGTACCCAACATATTTAACATCACAAATGTTTGCTACTATTTTTAATGTAGAATGAATCTTTAGGAAGGGAAATCAGATAGAGTAAATAACCTACTACATTAGATTATCCAAAGTCATCTTTACTCTTTTCCAACTGTACAAACAAATTAATTTGCTTTCTTGCCTTGGCATTTATGAATGCAAATTTAATCACCTAAATTTAGACTTCCTGGGAGACAATTTGAAACCACATTGTGAACATGACTTTCACATAAGGTTTGTTCCTTTTTCCTGAATTAGAAAGTGAAATTTAAAAAAAAAAAATCTATGCTGTATTAGACCCTAGGCAAAATCAACAGAGCCCTGCCATCTCCCGTTAAGTTGATTCAGGGCTCTGGGGAACCATGTCACCATCTGGGCTGGAGTGCATATGGTCAGAGGGAGGCCTGGGAGAGTGTCCTCAAAAAGACCCCAGCTGGCTGAGCAGCCACCTGTTACCAAGATGAGCGAGGGCACAATATATCGTATTCCTCATAATCCATCTGTTTCTAGTCTCTGAATATTCAATTCTGTCATGGCAGGGTACCCCGACAACAGGAGAGGCCTGGCTCAGAAAGGACAAGACTACAAATCCTGCTAAACAGAAGACATCTACAAGTTCCGCATGATGAGAGACAAGGAGGCTGGTTTGCAAAGGTCAAAGGAGGCAGAGGTAGCAAGCCTGGAGAAGCAGAAAGCCCAGGAGCTCAAAGAAATCCTAAGAGCAGCACTGATGAGCTGTGTTGAAGACTCAAATGGCAGCTGAAAACAAGTGTCTCTGAATCCAGAGACGTTGATTGTGGTTCCAAAACAGATACTTTGAGATAAATTCAACTCCTGATTAAAACAAACATATAGAATCTAGGGTGAATTTATAGGCTCAATGGCAAATAATAATAATTAAGAATAGCCAATACATAGCATCTAATAATAAGTACTTGGCATAAATTAACCAATTTAGTCTTCACCATAACTCTGTGAGGCAGTCACCTAAGTGGTCGAGCTGGAGGTGAAGCCCAGCGGTCTGTAGCCTTCACCACTGCATGCCACTCTCATTCCCTTTCAGCTTCCCATCTTCATTTTTATTCTATATCCCCCTTTCCCTATTCCACCCCTTCACTCTGATTTTCCTTCCTATACATCATGAATGTCAGGTTGGCCATTCATGGTGGAACCTGAGCAAATGATAGCAAATATATGGAACTTACTCTGATCCTCCTCCACCCAATTCGCTTGAGTTGAAATGAGGAAGGATTTGCCCTAGCCAGTTTGGCCATGAGTAGAGTGTCAGCCCACAGGCTGAGGGGTCTTTGGTTCAAATCTGGTCAAGGGCATGTACCTCAGTTGCAGGCTCAGTCTCTGGCCCTGGTCAGGGCATGTAGGAGGCCACCCAATTGATGTGTGTGTCTCTCTCTGTCTCTCCCCCTCCCTTCCACTTTCTCTAAAAAAGTCAATGGGAAAATATCCTCATGTGAGGATTACAAAAAAGAAAGAGAGAGAGAGAGAGAGAAAGAGAGAGAGAGAGAGAGAGAGAGAGAAGAAAGAAAGAGAAGAAAGAAAGAAAGAAAGAAAGAAAGAAAGAAAGAAAGAAAGAAAGAAAGAAAGAAAGAAAGAAAGAAAGAAAGAAAGGGAAAGGAAGAAAGAAAGAAAGAAAGAAAGAGAAAGAAAGAAAAGAAAGAGAGAAGAAAGAGAGGAAGAAAGGAAGGAAGAAAAGAGGAAGGATTCTTGCTTTTTGGCTGTATAAGTTTGGCTTTTGAGTGTTTGAACTGTGTGAGGTGTGTGTGTGTGTGTGTGTGTGTGTAAAGGGCAGGGAAAAGGATCTAGAGAGGGTGGGCAAACTTTTTGACTCGAGGGCCACAATGGGTTCTTAAACTGGACCGGAGGGCCGGAACAAAAGCATGGATGGAGTGTTTGTGTGAACTAATATAAATTCAAAGTAAACATCATTACATAAAAGGGTACGGTCTTTTTTTTTTTTAGTTTTATTCATTTCAAACGGGCAGGATCAGGCCCGCGGGCCGGGCCGTAGTTTGCCCATGGCTGAGAAGGTGGAAAACAGCTGAAGGTTGAAGGTGGAAGCTAGCAGAGTTGTGTTTAGGAGGAACTCGCTGAGACCTGTGGTTTATACAGGCTGAGGGGAGCCCATGTGGTAAAATGTGGAACAGTTGGGGAAAGGGCAGCAGAAGGGACTGAGGCACTCAGCACAGCATCTGTAAGTGACAGTGGTGAGATGCCTCCTCCTGTGACTCGCAGGGAGCAGACATCAAAGAGACAAAAGCAGATTAATGGCTTTGTTCTTCAGGTCTCCTGAGAACTCCCCCAGAGATGCCTAGAAATAGACAGGGGAGATTTTGAATGGCAGCAGGAGAAAGTTGAAACCCCACAGTGGTGCAGGTAAACAACACCATGCAGCAAATTGCAGGCGTTTATGTCACCATGACCTCCTTGTTTGCAGAGGCTGGCGAGACCTGGGGACATCTTAGCTGCTGCATTCACAGGACTAGGAAAGAGCAAGAGCAATGCAATATAAACCAGCCCTTCAAGCATGTCCAGCACAGCTACCGACACAATCTACTAATAAAGGGCAACTCGACATTTTTTCAGAATAGTTTATACTCTACAAGGCCTTCCCTCTTGAGGTTTTATTTTTATAATCATTTTTTAGAAATTGAATTTTAACCATATATTAAAATGATTGTCCCTTTGTTATTGACTGTCTCACAGCGTGCGAATGTTTGTGCATTTCTCCCACTAGCGCGGACATTTGGTGCTCAAACTTGTCCCTCTGGGTGTGGTTCAATTCAAATCCTAAGAAAATTAACTGCTAGCTTTTCACTATCCCATTGAGCTTGGGCTTTCTCAGTTTGCCTAAAGTCAGATTCCAAGGACCAGAGGACATGAAGGGTAAAAATCAGAATAAACACTTTTGATCTAAGCTAATGTGCCTGGACCATATGTAATAGCCCTGCCGTCCTTCTCCTATTTTCTATTTTGTACATATCTTTTTCGGTCATCAGATGTAGCAGAAAATTGTAGGGGGGGAAACAGTCTTTTAAAAATGCTCAAAAGGATGAAGTATGAGCAGATGTCCAAGAGAAAGATAAAATAACATTGCGAGTAAAATGTAGAGATTTATTGACACACTTTAGCAAGCTGTAATAGAAAATGTTGGGGACCTTAGAGTACAACACTAAAAGAGAAAAGGTAAAAAGTCATATTTTTATCTCATTGTATTCAATAAATCATGTCATTCCACTCGCTTCCAAGAAGTTTGTTCACTTACTATAAATTGTACTTAGTTGTCAAGCCCTGTTCATTATACGCAAAATACTTTCTCCTACATGTTTTACTATGCGTAGATAAGCATATTACATATAATAAGCATATAGGTATTAATAGCATATCATACTTTATTTTAAAATAAAGCTACTAATATAGCATATTCACTTCTTTTTTTAAAATATCATTTGGAATAGTAATAGAATAACTACATGCATAAGTCAATTAATTCCATAAGAAAGGAATAATATTAAAACATAGTTCATGTAGTTCTATTTTAATATATAGAGGATATGGTTGGTGTTTTAAAAAAAAAAGGTCAACTCTTTCTATACATGCTGGTAGAATAAGATGTAGAATATCATTTACCTGGTAACAGGAATTAAATTAGTAAGTATGCACTGAGCACCGACTATGAATTTGGCACTTTGAGTATAGAAATCTAGAACTCAAGGAGGGCTCAAGTCAGAGATAAATATGGCAATTTTCTTAATATCCATACTATTTATTTATTTTATTTTTTATTATTGACAATATTACATATGCCTCCCATCCCCCCCTCCACCCAGACTCCACCCCACCCCAGGCCTTCACCACATCATTGTCTGTGTCCATGGGCTGTGCTTATGTGCATATATGTTCTTTGGTTACACTATTTAAAGTCAAAGCAATGGGTGAAATTACCCAGATGAAAGTCAATATAAAGAAGATAGGCAAGAACAGAGCCTTGGAGTACTCCAATATTTAGAAGGAAAGAAGCTGAGAAGCCACCAAAGGAGACTGAGAAAAAATAAAAATAAAAAACAGGAAAGTGTACTGCAGGGAAGGCAAGGAGAAAGTGTTTCATGAAAGAGAAATTAATCAACTGATTCACGCTCCTGAGAGGTAAAGTGAGATGGATGGAGAGAGTTAACCACTGCATTTCGTAAGATGAAAGCCATTGTGTCAAATGACTGAGGAAGCCTAAATCAGCCGCTGGGGGAAGAGGGTTAGTTTTGCTTAAGAGTAGATCTGCGGCTCCACCAGTGATTGGAGAAGGACAAGGACAGAAGATACAGGTAACGCTGTCATTGAAAAAGAGTCAAACAGAAGATATACAGTAAGTGGACATTAAAGTAAAGGCTGTAGATTATAAGAGATATTTGGAGGGAAGTGGTATATTCAGAACTGCATGCTAGATTGGCTCGGCTGAAACAGAACTGGAGAGAGGGAGTTGTCCCGGCAACAGATGGCAATGGCTTCAGTATCAAAAAGTCAGAGTTTTTACAGGAGGAAGATGGCACATTCACATTGAGATAGCTCTAGGAGGGTTTCTTTAAAAAGAAATTCATTTTCACAATCTGAATGGGGTTAGGGAACCACAATGGATAGTGCAGAAATCTGGAACTAAAAGCTGTAAAGCTAAAACCAACGTCCTGCCCTAGCCAGTTTGGCTCAGTGGATAGAGCATCAGCCTGTGGACTGAAGGGTCCCGGGTTCCATTCCGGTCAAGGGCATGCCCCTCAGTAGCAGACTCAATCCCCAGTTCTGGTCAGGGTGCGTGCGGGAGGCAACCAATCAATGTATCTCTCTCACATCAATGTTTCTTTCTCTCTGCCTCTCCCTTCCACTCTGTCAAAAAGTCAATGGGACAATATCCTCTGGTGAGCATTAATAAAAATAAAAAAATAAAACCAACCTCCCTCCCCCTTAGACTCAAGGGAAGATGGGAAAGATAGAGTACAAAATTCAGAAAGGGAGCTGGAGAAAGCAACTCCCATAGGAGAAACAGGGAAATATTTGACTTCTTAAACTCTATTAATTATTCTTATAAAAAAAATTAAAAGAAGTTTTGTTGAGATCTTACATGTGCCAGAGACTGTATTAAGTTGACATTATTAAACTTCTCATCGACTCTATGAAATGGATACTCCCTGAGGAAACCAAGGGACTAAGTACCTTGACCCCACTCTCCTTCCTCCCTCAGTACGGTCAAGGCTCCCTAGTGGCCACAACCACAGTTAATCAAGGACAAGGTATCCCACTCACAGAAAGAGGAGGGTCTTAGCACCAAAGAAACAAGCAGAACCTGGCACACATGAGACCTAAGCCTACCATAGAGATAAAGGTAAATTAAAATCCAAATCTGGTTTCGCCCTCTCACCAAGCATCCGTCATGATGAATTACCTCCCCACGTAGGCTGCTTGCAAAAGGAGGCAGCACTGTGAGGCCAATGCAAATATCTGCTCCTCTTAGCATGTTATATTCTCACTCAGAATTAATGAGAATGTCCCAGGGTTGTTACCAATGGAAACTTTATGAACTGTTGGTAATTTCTTATTGAAGATTCTTAATAGCTTGCAATTTTGTGGTTCTAACACAAGTGATCGGAGGTAGCTGTCATATAAGCAAAGGCAAAGACTAGAGGAAGTTTGAATTAGTTGTCAATATTTAAAAAAATAAACAGGGACCTGGTAACACGAGGGCAAGATTGCTGTGTGCCAATAATCAGCTGGAGCTGAGTAGTGCTTCTCCCTTTAATGGTGCACGCTGGTCCCAGCTGACTCCCATCCCAGCACATCCGCTCTGTTAGACTTTCTCACTCCTACAAGTACTTGAGAAGCTCTCTCTTGTAATCATCTCAGTCGGCCTTTGTGTTTCCATACCCTCTGATAGTACACAGAATTAACTAGGAGCTTAACAGAGGTAGGCTAAACTTCAAAAACTTAGCCAAAAATATTGATCTCTCCTTATTCCATTTCTTTACTTTTTTTTTCCCATTTTCCCCTGCTCCCTTAAAATTATTTTCTAAAAACACCTATGGTAAGCCCAGCTGGTGTGGCTCAGTGGTTGAGCATCTACCACTAGAATGAACCAAGAGGTCACGATTCGGTTCCCGATCAGGGCACATGCCCATGCTGCGGGCTCGATCCCCAGTGTGGGGCATGCAGGAGGCAGCTGATCAAAGATTCTCTCTCATCATTGATATTTCTATCTCTCACTCTCCCTTTCACTCTGAAATAAATAAAAATATATTAAAAAATAAAATAAATAAATAAAAACACCTATGGTAAGCTTCTTGATTTGGATTGTTTTTAATTTT